CGAACTGCTGTCATTATGATGTTACCGCGTTTCTTCCGGTCGCCTGAATCATCACCCAGATGGGAATGGTTATTTTTATTATGATGAGTTTTGGACAGAGAGAGAGAGAGACAGACAGAGAGACAGACAGAGAGAGAATTTATTTTATAATAATTTATTGTGCACCTAACATCTATTCTGTGATTTGATTGTTGATTGTTGCTAGTTTATTGTGCACCCCATACTCATCCTGTGAGCGGTAGCGCAAAAAGCATTACAGAGGGCACAAAAGGTCTTTGTCAGACCTCATCTTAGATTATTACATGAACTCTGTGAGTGGTATTGGACATCCTATACTCATCCCGTGAGCAGAGGTAAACCCACATACCCATTCTATAAATGATAGTAGAAAGTTTACCGAATTACATAATCGGCTTAGAAACTGTATCCCAAAAATTTGCTTAGCTGAGCAAGTTAGTGTTGAAACCTAGTTACAGAGTTCAGTATTATACATTAACAATCTATTCACAATTTATCAAACTAATATCACCTTGTTCCCAAGATGCAGTAATACAACGAGCGATTTAGTAGTTGAATTAGTTTTAAATAAACCCTTCGTGTGAGTAGGCTGCAGAATGGTTTGGGTGTCACATGATTAGTTCAAGGTAATGACCTCCAATCATCTTGATTTCACCTAAGCAATTTATAATTGTGGTGAATTAGTTATATATGATTTTAATTTATTTACCTGAGGGCCATTAACACTAGTGGCCTCGACGAGGACAGGAAGCCGTTACCTTGAGGTGCTTCTGGGGCTTAGCGTCCCCGCGGCCCGGTCTTCGACCAGGCCTCCTAGTCGAATGTCGAATGTTCTCCTCCCCCCTATTTGTCCTGATGATCTGTTGCAGTGTGACTTAGAAATGTAATTAACACAGTTTTGACATTTACGGCTTCGGCGGGTAGGCGGTTCCATGGGTTTATAACTCTGTGGGTGAAAAAGTATCTTCTGTTCTCAGTCCTACATTGTGGTTTGATAAGACTGAGACCGTTGCTCCTGGTTTGTGTTACATTTGACCTTTTGAAGAAATTGTCCGGATCAACATCATCCAACTTGTTCAGTATTTTAGAAGTTTCACTGAGATCCGCCTTGTCTTGCCTGGTTTATAGTGTTGTTAGCCCTGTGGCCTTCAACCGTTCCTGATACGAGAGATGACTTAGCTCTGGAACGACTTTTGTTGCCCGGTGTTGCACTTTCTCCAGAGCCGCTATGTCCTTCTGAAGATGTGGTCTCCATGCTTGGATACAGTAATCCGGGTGGAGGCACACCAGAGATTAATACAATTGAATCACTACCTTCCTTTCCTTAGTCAAAAGTATGCTTGATTATTCCAAGGGGTTTGGTTAGCTAGGAGGCCTGGTCGACGACCGGGCCGCGGGGACACTAAGCCCCGGAAGCACCTCAAGGTAACCTCAAGGTAGCTTTTCTGACTGCTGCTCCTACCAGTGAATTCTGACTCCAAGGTCCTGTTCTTTATCAATCTGCTGTTATGTAATGTTATTAATTTGGTATGCAGGCGAGGAGTCACAATAACGTGGTTGAAGAATGTTGACCAGACCACACACTAGAAGGTGAAGTGACGACGATGACGTTTCGGTCCGTCCTGGACCATTCTCAAGTCGATTGTCTTTACAAAACGTCGTCGTCCCTTCACCTTCTAGTGTGTGGTCTGGTCAACATTAATTTGGTAGTTGTGGGTTGTTATGCCCACATGCTGCATCTTGCATTTGCCAAAATTAAAAAAATCATTTGCCAGTCCTCTGATCATTTGTGGAGTTCATGTAGATCTCCTTCTAAGGCTTCAATATCATTATCATTTCACACTTTACTATAAATTTGTGTCATATGTAAATTTGACGATGTGGTTTGTAATATTCTCATCTGTCATTGATGTGTATGACAAAAATAGTTGGCCCCAAAATGTACCCCTGTGGAACCCCACTTTCCACATTTCTCCAGTTGGATTTATTCCCATTTAGCACGACTCTTTGTTTTCTTTGTTTTAACCATTTGTTTTATCCATTCTAGTATTTTTACCATTTATTCCATGTACCTGTAATTGCCTTGCCAGTCGTTCATGGGGTTGTTATAGTAGTGATATTAATTTAAACAGAATTCACAGTAAAAAAATTCAGTGAAAGAGGAGAAGAGAAGAAGGAAGGAAGGAAGCCACTGATAGAAGAAATCAGTAACTTCCTAAACTCATCCAAGTTATCCAGAAAATCTTGATTTGAATCCCCAAAATGAGAAAAACAAAATAGAAATCAAGAAGGAATAACATTATAAATTAATAACACCATTTAGTTCTAGAGAATTTATTTCTACATTAAATTACACATATTCACATAACATACAATATTTACAATAATTTGTGCTATAAAAAGCACCTTTACAATTTGTACATTAAAGCAGACACTTAAAAACAGGCTATTAAGAAAGGTGTGAGATCCATGCAAGGCTCCCTTCTCACAGTGTTAGAATCCATGCCCTATAAATTAAGTAGTTTCTGTTTTCATTTACTATAACGTTTAGATCTTATAGAGGGGTCAGAGTCCATTGTTAATTAACCCAAAAGAGCATGTTAACTACTGCTCGAGCATGTTAACTTAATGCCCAAGCATGTTAACCACTAACCCCTCTATAGTGATTCACTCGGTATGGCTCTGTAGAAAAGATACCACATTTTTACAGTACTGTCTATGGGTGATATTCAATATATTTTATTTTTTGTAAATAGGTTCGAATACTGGAGCATGGGTTTTAAATTCTTTAAACGTGGGAGCCTGCACATTCCTTGTAAATAATACCTCGATAGCCAATCAGCATTCAGATACGGTGTGACGTCACAGTTAATGAACCAATAACCTGCCTCACAGAGACAATAGATCACAGTATCGGATGCCAAATCACAATATTTGATGCCTTTAACCCTTATATAAATAAACTAATGACTGAGACACGTGCTATTAAGTAACATAGCTCTAGCTTGTCTTAATAATATGATGACTAAACTAATTATATATATAAATATATATATATATAATTTATATTACAGTCATTATAAAGTCATACAGAGATATCACTGCACAGTTATAAACACCGGATGCCAGGTATACCATTATATACAGATTATGAGTTATCCACATGTGTGTAAGGGATGAGGTATGGGTTTATGAGGTGTGGAACGGTTGTAAAAGCAATGGTGGTGATGAGATTGATGAGATAAATTACTGTTGGC